AAGATACCATTTTTCCATAGAAGTAGAAGTCCCGCAAGCAACCAGTGGCGTAGTTATGGGGACTCAGACTCATTAAATTAGGAAAAAAATTAATACGGCCCTACTGAACATAAAAAATGATGCTGTTTTTAGATAGAACAGTTTGTTATCGACAAAAAGTGTACATTCACTTTTTTCCTAACTCTTATAGTTTCATGGCAAAATTGATTTTTCGGAAGGGTGCTTCTGGATTCTGTCGATAAACTTTATAATGAACCTCAACACAAATTTTCGAGTAGGCTGCTATCAAGCAATGTTAATTTGACGTTTTAAATGTTATTTTGCAGGCAACTATTTGTAGTTTTCCAAAAATTTTTCAACTAAATTCTGGTAATCCTCACTCTTCTGATTCCCCAACAAATTCTGAGTCACTTTGTTGAAATTCAGCCATGCTACTCTTTCAGTATCACTCATTTCTGTGATAAATTATTCGTCTCTGAATACGGTACGGATTTGAGGACCATCGAAAATACCTTTTTTTAGTTTAACATCACTTATTTCCGAAAACTTATCTCCTAAATATCCAAAACTGGCACTATTTTTGCTTAAACCTTTAACGGACAATTTCATGAGTTTAATGTGGAGAGGTGGAAGCAGAATATTTGAAGGATCAAGTAAGGGTTCGTGGATGGTGTTTTTCAACCCTGGATAAAAACCTGGTCATTTTGGCCATACTCTTTGTTCATAGTGATTCTTTCTGTCTCTAATACCCTATAAAGAAACAGTAATGGAAGATGAAGTTAGCCTTCCCCTTGTTTTGAAAAATAAAATTTTCCATATTATCCGTCTTTAAGGGCGATTTTTCGAGATTTAAAATAACATAAGGCAAGCGCATCAAAATTCATAAGGACACATGGATCTGAAAAACTTTTTCAGCTTACAAATCTTTCGTATTTAGATTCAATCATTATGTGATATATAACCATTACTTATGACAAATTTGGAATTTGGCCCTTTTATTATGACTCTAACCTGGTTCCTACTCTGAAAGTAAGTTCAGAAACGATTCTTAAGACTTGTTTTTCAAAAAGGCCTCCTGATTACAATTCTGTTCATGCAAGTGAACAGAATTGTATATAAATATATTCAATTATCGTCATCTTATTTCGTTGTACATTCGTTCGTTGGACACATTTTTTTTGTACTTTTGCATACTTTATTCCTATATGTCGTCGCCAATTTAGGATAGTTATCACCTCTAGAAATAAGACAATTTTGCGTTTACCTATTAGCAGGAAGACATCACAATCAGTTTTGGTTAATTAGCCAAGTTGTTTTTAATAATAAAGTGCGTAGAAATATTTTCCTCTATTAGAACATGTAGTAGAACTATTAAAAACATATTTTCCAGTTAAAATTTATTTTAATTTTTACGCACGCAACTCCTCATTCTCAATCTACTATACCTAGTTGTTTTAATTCGATCTATAGAACCATTGTTGTAGTATATACAGGGTGGCACAAAAGTATGGAAACTCTTGAATAACTCGTCAAGAGTGCATTTTCTTGAAAAATGATAAATACAAAAGTTTTAGGATTCCTTTTGACCTTCGAGGTCATTTCAAGGTCAAAATTGTTTTTTCAAATGAGAACCTCTATTTTTTATTGCGGATTTGGAAAGAGTAGCAAATTTTACGTTCAAGTATAACCTTGACCATATCCTTGACCACGACCTTCAAGGTCACTCCAAGGTCAAAGTTGTTTTTTTCAACAGGAACCGCCATCTTTTATTACGGATTTGGAAAGTGCATGAAACTTTACGTTCAAATCATGACCTCGACCATGTCCTTAACTAGGACCTTGACCATGGTCATCTAGGTCATTCCAAGGTCAAGGTTCTTTTTCAATAGGAACAGCTAGTCTTTATTGCGCATTTGCAAAGAGCTTAAATTTTATCTTCAAATGCGACCTCGACTACGACATTGACATATCCGCAATAAAAGTAGCGGTTTGTATTGACAAAGCAACTTTGACCTTGGAGTGACCTTGAATGTCGTGGTCGAGGATATGGTCAAGGTCATACTTGAACGTAAAATTTCCTGCTCTTTCCAAATCCGCAATAAAAAATAAGAAATTTGAAAAATCAATTTTGACTTTGAAATGACCTTGAAGGTCAAGGTCAAGGTCGAATACAAGGGCGCCATTGAATAGCCAGGGAAAAATCCTAAAACTTTTGTATTTATCATTTTAGAAGAAAATCTCCTGACGAGTTATTCAGGGGTTTCCATACCTTTGTGCCACCCTGTATACATACAGGGTGATTCAGTCATAATGTCATTAATTTTAACCACGTATTCGGAAGGCTTAATTAAGACAGAAAATCGGAAAAAAAAATTTTTTACTCGACTTTTAAAAATGAAGGAAATCAACCCATAACTCCCGCTACGAGGGCGGCCCTGGCAGATGCCCGGATGCTCGAAAAATTTTGTAACGTAATGTCACGAACAATTGTCGGCTGAAGCGAACAGCGTTGCCAAGTTCACATCATAATGTGTGGCTCACATTTACTGTTAAACGTATTCAAGTAAATAAAGGAGCATGCTGCATTTTATTATAAATAATTTTAACAATTGTATTAACTTAGTGGAGAATGTTTTAATAAGCCTGACTTCTCGAAGTAAACTTTCGTTAAAAGAACATAAATAAAGCAGAGGTAGTTGCCTGTTTGTAGTAACACCGTATTTTATCAAATAAAAAAGTCGGCACACTACCCAAATATACAAAATACACTACACACGGTTACAAAACCATTAACAATTTAAAGCGTTTATTCAAATCTACCACCCTCCATATCTCCCGCATTTTTCCCGCAAAGGAGTTAACATAACACATTTTCAAAAAGTTCAAGCTTTAGAAGCAGCTGATTTCCCCAATCGTCTTGAATTTTGCAATTGGTTCCTAAGTGCAGCAGAACTTTATTAACAAAGTGCTCTGGACGGATGAATGCTGTTTTATTTGTGCTGGCATTTTAAACAGGTAAAAAATATCAGTGCTGCTTTCTCAAAAACAATAAGTGCCTACCTAGGTTACACCAAAGTTTAGATTTACACTAAAGTTTACATTTATTATGTAAACTTTGGTTATATGCAACGTAACTGCATATTGAATAATAAATTGAAATACTGTGTATTATTTAACATAATAAATTATAAAACGTGAAAACGTTAATAATATTAAAAATGATAAATAAATTGTAATAACCGTACATTAGAAAACAATCCTCCGTATTCATTACATTGTTTGCAGCCGTAGCACTCTGTTGGCGACGGCACCCTATCTGGCTCCTGGACTATTTGTACACGTGCAAATTAAAAAGTGGGTCATTGACCTACACGGTCCGTAAAACAGGACCGTGATTGACCTAGATACAGGTTAACCTAGGTCGGAAACACGTACCGAGTTGTTTACTTGTCTCCGTCCGATTGTTTCTTTTATCTTCTATTACTTACAGTCAGTATTTAAATACTATATACATTTCAACCTCTCTTTATAATTTATCTAGTGAGTGTTGGTTTTTTATATAATTATTTTTGTAATGAAATTGAAATGGTTGTGAAATGAAATTTAAATTACTTGAACTCTTGGAGTTTTGTAACTTCAATATTAAATTTGATTTAAAGTGAAAACCCGCACACTATTAGTCGGTTTAGCTTTCATAGTAGATTCGGTGTCGATGTATTATGGGCAGGAGTATATGGGGATCGTTTAATGGGCCGTATTTTCTACCTGAACATCTGAATGGGCCGCATTACTTTCAATTTTTAGTAGAATTGTTTGAAAACCTTCCCCTTCAGACGCTACGGGATATATGGTATATGCACGACGGAGATCCGGCCCATTTTGCTCGCGATGTCCGTGTATTTTTAGGCGATCAATGTCCCAATCGGTGGATAGGGAGATGAGGGCCCATAATCCTATGGACTTTTGTATATGGGGTTATATGGAATATGTCGTGTATCACACCGAGGTAGAGAATGTAGAGCAGTTGCGGAATCGTATCGAAGATGCCGCTGAATACGTTTATTCCATCGCATCCGCCGCTCATCTATCTAACGTGTACACTTGTGCATAGACGGTAGATGGTAACGGTAATGTATTTGAACATTTGCTTACAGCAAAAAATTAACATTATGATGTTAATAAAAACTGATTTTTGGCAAGGCATGCTCAGACCTCCTCGAGATTCTTGCTGGGCAACAATAACAATTTAATGTGTTGATTGCATAATTATAAAAAATAATTTATAGCATTTTAAATTATTATTTACTGACGTGAGCAAACAGTTTATTTATTGTCTTTATATGAGCGAAAATATATAAATATGGCAACGTTGCATCTAGCGCGCGTTGTTCATATCGCAGCCGTGCTCAAATTCTGAATAACCGACGACGTCAGCCGGTGAGTAATAGCCTGAAAAGGGGGGTTAAATAATGTATTGAAAATATTTTTTTTCTGCTTAAATATACATTTAATTTTTTTTTGAATCACGCCATCGTATTATACTCATTTTTCTCTATCTGCTCTTAAAATTAAAGACATTATGACTGAATCACCCTGTATATACACCACTGGCCTTGTTTTGTTGTTGTTAACTGTCAAAATATTTCTGTTTCACTTTGTGACGTGCTGCATTTAAAATTGTGAACACAATAATTTTTTCTCTGTAACTAAGCTCACTATTCGGAAATAAATAATTAAATTTTCTGCATCTGAATTCAGTTATGGTTGGCTGTGTTGACGTCCTCCTAAGGGATAAAAGGGATATATACGGACATAGAATGCTAAATTTATCTAAAATCCAATTAACACAGACCGAGCCTATCAAACATTTAAGTACAAATGAAAGACGATTAATGATTAATGAACGAAACAAAACCAATTCCCCATTATTCGAAATTGCATTACGACTGAAAACTAGCATTTACTAAATGAATATTCATGAGAATTAGAATCAAACCCTACCTTGATTATCGATGGAGAAGATGCCGATCCCGTCGCCACCTCTGATGGAGTATTCCACGTTGTTGTCGCCCCCCGGAGGATCCTGATCCGTGGCGTTCACCTGCATCACGAAACTACCCACCGGCTGGTTCTCCTTCACTTTCCCGGCCAACACGAAATCACTGAACTGGGGCGCGTACATATTCTCGTTCACGTCCACTACGTTCACCGTCACGGTGGCTTCGGAGGACATCGAGGGGTTCCCCCTGTCGCTGGCGTATACGATCAAACTGTGCACCTGTCGTTCCTCGAAATCGAGCGATTTGGTGGTGCGGATGGTTCCCGATAGCCGGTCGATTTTGAACGTGCCGTCGCTGTCTGTGTCTTCCAACGAGTATACCACCTCGCCCTCCGGACCTAAATCCGGGTCCGCAGCAGTCACCATAGCCACAACCGTGCCGTTGGGCAAATCTTCCCGAATTTTAACTGAGTAGTTGGGCAGGCTGAACTTAGGGGCGTTGTCGTTGATGTCGTCTATTGAGATTCTCACGACTGCTTCGGAGTATAAAGGAGGATTGTCGGGTCCTTTACCGCCTCCGTCGGTAGCTCTAATTCGAAGTTCGTACAAGTCTTGGCGCTCTCTATCTAGGGTATTGGAAACCGTAAGCACCCCAGTTGTTTTGTCCACGTGGAAGTCCTTGGTGTCGGTGACCAGGCTGTAGGTTACTTTGGCGTTATCACCCTCATCAGCATCTGTAGCGTTTGCTCTGAAAATAGCAGTGCCGTTTAGCGCGTTTTCCGTCACCCTAAAACTAGCCAGGGTTTTTTCAAACTTAGGGGCGTTATCATTAACGTCCAGCACAGTTATGGGAAGCACTCTGGATGATGATTTTTGCGGCTTGCCTAGGTCGTAGACTGTGACGTTCAGGAAGTACTCGTTCTCCCTTTCTCTGTCTAAATATCCGATTACCTTTAATTCCCCGGTTTCCATATCCAAACAGAACTGGGAGTGTATATCTCCCCCTGATATCCCATAAATAAGCTTGCCATTGTAACCCAAATCCCTGTCTCGCGCCCTGAGTTTAACCAGCGTCGTGCCTAGAGCCACAGACTCGTTCACTTTGATTTCCACGGGAAAATCCATGAACTCGGGCGAATGTACGTTCTGGCCGTACCTCGTAGGCATCATGGGGAACTCCTCCTGCGCCAGCGGCTTGTTGTTGTCCTCCGCGTCGGCTAGCACTTCCGTCAGCCTCCTGGCGACCCCGGTGTCCTTACAGTCGAAGGCTCCGGTGTCGTCGCTGATCAGCTTCCCGCTCGTTATCGTGTTCCTTTTCGCATTCACCAGCTTGAAGCGCACCCGCGCGATATCGGCGAAGTGCGTGTTATCGGTGGCAGTTACGTTCAGTTCCCTTTCGCTCACCCGGATGTCGTTCAAATCGCAACTGACGCTTATCGTGCCCGAGGTGATGTCTATGCTGAAGCAGCCGTCCTCGTTCCCCGACACGATCCTGTAACTGATTATGTTTCCGGCGTCGAAGTCGATGGCGGACAGTGTTATTATTTCGGAGCCTATGGGGACGTAACGGGGTACGTGACCTACGCAGTCCACCTTCTCGAACTGGGGGCGGTTGTCGTTCACTTCCTTCACCTTCACCGTCAGCTGCATCTCCGTTTGTCGACGGTAGGGTAGGCCCCAATCCGACGCTCTTATTCTTAAGATGTACTCCCTCCTCATACTTTCGTAGTCCAGAAGCTGGGTGGTCTTTATTACGCCTGAGAAGTGGTCTATCTCGAAGGGTACTTTGTTGAGATTAGCGATAAGGTAGGAAATGTAGGCGTTCTCTCCGCGATCTCTGTCCTTGGCGTGGACTGTAGTCACAGACGTGCCTGCAGGCATGTTCTCGTCTATCCAAACAGTCACTTCAGACTTCTCGAAAATGGGATCATTGTCGTTAGTATCTTCGACGTATATTTTCACCTTGGCCGACGATTGCTTCCTAGTAGCTGCATTTCCCTGGTCAATAGCCGACACGGTGAGGCTGTAGAACTGTTTATTTTCCGCGTCAAGTGGTTTGGCGGTGTATAACATACCCGTTTCGGGGTTGATGCTAAATTCACCCCCTTCATTCCCCCCTACTATTTCCAAGAACACCTGAGCGTTCTTGCCTTCGTCGGCGTCGGTGACTTTTAGTCTTATCAGTGGAGTATTTACAGGGGCTGTTTCAGGAACCTTGACGTCGTAGATTTCTTTATTGAACACCGGGGCATTGTCGTTTAGGTCAGTCAGCTGCACTGGTACAGACTTGTAACTCTCTCTGGGTGGTATGCCTTTATCGGTGGCACGAAGCTGCAGCACGTACCCTTGCGGGGTGGTCTCTCTATCCAACAACTTCAACACTTCTATGTTGTACTCACCTTTCTGTCTGGCAGGACGGATTCTGAAGTGGCCATCTGGGTCTCCGTCGACTATTTCCAAGCTAGCTATCTCTCCATGTATACCACTATCTCTGTCCGAGACGTTAACTATGGCGTAGATGTCGGCATTGGAGTTTTCTACTATTTGGGGATGTCTGCGGATTCGAATCTCAGGCGCAAAGAAATTTACCTTTTTCACCCTGATCCTTACTTTGGCCTTGCTAAACATCCCTCCATGGTTAAAACGGACTCCCCTGTCTTGTGCGAAGACCGTGAGTTCGTGATATGTGCCCTCGTTGTACCTTAAAGGCCTGCTAAGGGATATTACGCCAGTCATAGGATGTATGGCGAACATGTCCGTGTCTTCCACAAAGCTATAGTAGATTTCCCCATTCCTACCCAAATCGGCATCCTCAGCTACGACCTTGAGGATGCTTTGGTGAACCGGCGTGTCCTCGAAGACAGTCGCGTTGTACTCTATGGGGTAGAACAGAGGACTGAGATCATTGGTATCCAGGACAGTGACGACGACTGTCGTGTCCGACGTGTACTGGACCTTCTGCTTGCCTTCCTTGATGGAGGCGGTGGCGCGCACTTGCAACACGTACTTGTCCTTCCTCTCGCGGTTCAACACGTCGTTATTGCCGGTCTTAATTCTAATGAACAGAAAGCAAAAGTCGCCCACTATTCTATGTTCCGCTTTAAAAAATTTGTCCTTGTCGCCCTCTACTATCTTATATCGTATGTCGGCGAAGGTGTTGGGAGAGGGCAGGCGGATGCCCATGAGGTCCGAGCCGGGGGTCTGGGTGGCGTAGGTCTTCGCCACGCTGTTCTCGGGGATGCTGACATTGTAGAGCTGCTTGGAGAAGTGGAAGGCAACATCAGCGGTGGTGGACGCCCCGGCTTCCGAGTCCACCTGGGCACAAGCGATCACCAGGAGGCAGCAAGCGAGAGCGCATCTGTGCATCATTTCAGCTCATCACGGCAGGATCTGCAAAAAAAATAGTTGTTAAATAAAACTGTATATTTTGAACAATTTACCAGTAAAAATGAAGAAATTAAGAAATATATCTGAAAAGTATGGCATAAATATCTACACTCAGCAAAAAAATTAAGGGATCAGAAAAATTTTCAAAACGTTTGAAATATTCAATGTGAAATTGTAAAAGCGACAACGCAAAAATTATTTTTTTAAAAATTCGTTTTTTTTTCACATTTGACGAGTATTTAATGCGAAATTGTAAAAAAAGGACGCAAAAAATGTGTTTTTCATTCAATTGCAGTAAAATTAAGTATAAAAAAGTTTTCAATAGGCATAATACTCGTAACTAATGAATGTTATGAAAATGTATCGTGTAGTCTCTGAAGATGATTTAATATTTAATAAACCGAAACATCAGAGAGAAATATCTTGTGTCAATAAATTTGACAGCGATATAGTCTAGGGCCTAGACTCTAGGCGGTATTTGTTTTGGTATGGGTGAATCGTATATCCACGGAGATTTTTGGCTTTTGGGCTTTCAAATATCACTAGAAATGAAAATTTTTCTATGCGCATAAAAAAAAACGTGGGCTTAACTTTTGGCGAAACAGTATGTTAAAAAAATTCGAATAATGTCATATTTTTTTACCTATTTAATTATGTATCTTTTCAAAAGTTGATTTTAGGTGAAAATGGAAGAGGAAAAAATGTTTGTAATTAAATTTTTTACAAAATATGACTAATTACAAATCGAATGAATCATGATTATTATTGTAAAAATCGAAAAAATCGCCAAATTGGCGTTAAAAGACATTACTTTTTAGGGAATTTTTTTGAGGTCTTTAAATTCATACTTGGCTTAAGACAACCTCATGTTATGTAGAATCATCACACGAAATTTCATCAAAATCGGTTCGATAAATTTTGCATAATAATTTTGCAATCCAGATTTTGAAAAATAATTTGCAAATTTTCAAAATTTTGTCCAGCAAAAACCAAGACCCTTAGATACTTGAAAATTTAATCACATATCGAAGGCCTCTAAAGCTTTCAAACGCTTTTTGAAAAATTCGAATCCGTCAATCCGGAGAGCTCTGGCGCTTGTTTAAACATTGGTCGAATTTTTGTACTTATAAACAATTAGAATAACTTTGTGAATATTCAATCAAATCAAATTTTTTAAAGCAGGTTTTAAAAGTTATTGGAAAGATGCTTCTTTAAAAAAACAGATCGATTGGTCAATTAATTACGTAGTTATAGCCGATCAAAGTTAACCATCATTTACACTAAATGTACTGGGACATCCGGGCTAATTTTTCGAAAAATACCTTTGGTATATTCTCGGGCTAGGCTCTGTGTCATCGGTTTCATCAGTAGCGGGCCTGGGACTTTTGCTATCGGATATGCCCCGACAGATATTAGCCCGAGAACAACAAAGGTCGTAGCTAAAGATAAATAAAGCTGTGTGTATCTAAACGGGTACAGGCGAAAATGCCGAAAAATTATTCAATCAAAATTATATAAATGTTTCTTATCTAAGAAATATATTGACAGAAAAAATATAGATAGGACTATGAAAAATCTAATTACAAGTAGACACGACTATTTAGAGATAATTTCAAGAATAGCTGGAATTAGATTGCTTGCGATAGAATACATTTTTATTTCTCGTTGCATACAATAGAAGTATAAAATGTATTAAAATGTTGTTTGTTGATACCCGACTGAGAAATTCTTTTGCATTCTCTGTTTCAAAATCTAGCATCAAAAATAACTATTTTTGTACTGGTAGAATGTCAGTTATGCGTGTAATTAAAAATAGAGCATACCAAAACTATTTAATTAAAAAAAGTAAGACTCTACATACACGTGATATAACTAAATAGGAACTTCATTAAAATTCCGTATTAGTATATCGGAGAACACTTCAGTGCCTACCTTGATTACATTACAATATCAGTCGGCAACATGCCTTGAGCCATAATTGATTACATCTCTGTTACGGACAGGCAAATTGTTGCCTAATTAAAAAATTTTCTTAGCTCTATCAGATGCCTACATCTCGACTGGTAAATGGTTATTAAACCGATAGTGGTAAAAGGTACGTTCATCTAAAGAGATGTTATTCTAAGGATGCAAGTGAGAATGAAAATTACATCGTCTCATCACATATTTAATTAATTCATAATTAAATGATCTAGAATCAACAGAAATTTACAAGTCTCTGATTGAGACTGGGACACAGCGGGCAAATCATAGACATTTATCAAATCGATGCAGTTTTCAAAGAAATGGAAAAAATATATATAAAAAAACGCTAAATAAACAATATCAAAATTAAACTAAACTGTTTAGATCAAATTACCTTAAGGCTATTTATTTATTTTAGTCCGTAATTTTTTGTTAATGTATAGAAGTTTTCTGTTGAGAGTTTTAGAAAATCAGATTTAGAAACATACACAAGCATATTTTTTATGTTTATCGTTACGTTTGCTGAATTTGACACGCTTGTTGAACACATGGAAAATCGTTTACGGTACCAAAAACTTAATCACACCCCGCAGAATGCTTTTAAGAAACTATTAACACATGCATTAATCACAATTGTTAAGTAGTTTCCACAGAATTCTTGACAAAACAGGACAAGTACATTTTCCGATGTTTACGCAGGTGGCAATGTTTTCTACGATTTTTCACTATGAAAAATTAAAGGAGTCCTTGTATTTCAACATTTCTATTGTTTAGATGATGTCGAAAATAAGGCGATTTCCTTGTTCTATTACTATCTTACTAAAAATTTATAAAACGCCGCCCTTAACAAAACTTTGCTTCATTAGAAAGTAATGGACCTTCAAATAAATTACTTTTTTAAATTTTCTTCACAAAATATTTCAATAAAACATAGCAAGATTTGAGGGGTGGCCAGATATGAACCTAAGCTTATTTTTTGCCGAAAACATACAGGTCGCTAAGAACAAATTACAATAAAAATTTGAAAATGTCAAAATTTCATATTTATTGGCACATGTTAGCTGCAATATTTTCCAAATTTATTTGTTGACTGGACTTAAATTCAATATGTGTTTTCCTTTATATATTTATGTATGTATTGCTTTTGTAATTCTAATTAACGTAATCAATCGTTAAATAAAATTTAAGTATATGTGGAATAATTTGTGGCAAATATATAATTTTTTTAGTATCCGAAAAAAACTTTCTAAATAATTTGTAAACATTTACAAATGTATTTTTAGAGGTACAACATACAGAAATTTATTGCACTTAACTTGAAAGAAGTGAGGCTAAGTTGGCAAATTGCAAATAAGTGGCAAATTTACGTGCTTTTTCAATTTTTTACTGCCTACAAAAATCTAGACACTTTCGGAAAATTAGTCGTTCTATGTTGTAGGCAATTAAATTATCTACAATAGATACCTTTAGTATATAGTCATATTTCACTAATGTGTTTAATGTAAAGATAAAGGCTGAACGCGGAAAAATCGAATTCGAAAATTAGGCATTATTACTGCAAAATGCGATGGCTGTTGATAAAAGTTATGGAACAAATCGTCAATTCAATGACAATGTGTGAAATTGTTGCACCAGGTATTTGTTAATTAAATTTTTTTGTTTATTTATTTATTTATTTAAGTTACACCACCTGACAGTTAAACCAATTAATAGGTGGGAGAAATACCTAATAAAAATAGATGCAATAACAAAATCAGATTACTAAAGTACAAGAGTAAATAATACAGATTATAAAAGTTATAAAAAAAATATAAAAAATAACCACTACGATATAGGACTAAATAAAAAAATAGAATAGAATAGAACTTTATTCTGTCTGCAACAACATACATTGTTTTACATTCGTCAAGTATTATATAAATCTAATTAAAATTTTACCTATCAACAGTGGGAGTATTTTTACTGTAAGTTTCATAACATTTTAACTGTGTACCAATATTATCACAGACTTGCAATAGTATCCATCACATTCTCCTATGTCAGAAACACAGCAACACGTTATAAACATTAACAAAACAATAAATTTAACAGAATATAATTAGAACAAACAATATATAAACATCATTTATAAAAACCTTATACATACAACTATTACACGTTACCTATACCTGGAAGTAATCTTCTATATTATCACATGTTAAAAACTCATTAATAAAATAGAACGCCTTATGTATTAAAAAGCATTTAATTTCTTTTAAAAACATATTAGTACCCAATTCTTTCACCCTTGTCGGCAGTAAATTAAAAAATATAGGACCATAATAGTTTTTACCATTACGGCTAGAATTTAATCTGTAATAATTAGGTCTTATGTGATTAGCATTCCTAGTTCCATAAGCATGTAACGCCTCATTTGTACTATACAGATTAATATTTAGTTTTACATATTTTAGACACTGGAAAATGTACATACAAGGAACAGTCATAATTTCTAACTTTTTAAATTCTGTCTTAACATCATCTCTAAAACCTAAATTCAATATAATTCTAATTACCTTACGTTGCAGTCCAAAAATCCTATCCGCGTGAGACGAGTGACCCCAGCACAACAGACCATAATTTACATTTGAATTAAAAAGTGCATAATATGTTGTTAATAAGACATCCCTGGCAACTTGATTAGCCAGCGATCTGATTACAAAGATATTCTTGTTGAGTTTGTTGGCCAAATAATTAACATGACCTTCCCAGGTCAATTTAGTATCCAAAAATACTCCTAGAAACCTCACAGATGATGTTACATCACTGTTGTCTAGCTGTCTGTGAGAAAGAAATACATGATGGGTCTTTGAGTTGTTTAAGTGTAAGCCATTCATTAGAAACCAATTAGAGATTGTATTTTGTGTTTCTGCATTTTTTCTTTTAAGCTTAAGATATCATGATTCCGCAATATTAATGTTGTATCGTCAGCAAAGCGAACTGTCTCCACTCCAGGAACTGCATCCCCCAACTCATTTACATAAATGAGAAAGAGTACA